AATTTTGATACAATTACTGCTCTAAGTGGGTCGCTCTTTCAGCTAATGGTGTGTTTTATAGTTTCTATACTCCATTTAACGATTAATTAATTACTAAATTAGCTTTAAATAATTGATTGTTGTGCTAGTAAATGTGTTCCAGTATGTTTTCATAAAATTACCTTTCCTGTTGGGCTTCCTAAAGCCTGTTGATGCTTGACGTCCCTCAACGAGTCCCAAACTTGTGCACAGCACACCTGGAAGAAATAGTGATTGCCCTTGGATTGTTTAAGGATTCGACTTTCCATGCATTGGGTCCTTTTGAAATGTTGATCATTGGGAAAAAAAGTTAAGGTGTGTTCAAAAACAAATGCTTGTCTTTTATGAGCAAAACAAGAATGAAATACTCAACATACTGATGCAGTAAATTTGGTGTTTTTCCTTGGCTGCCTGATGTCGCTTATTAGCCTCATACCTAAATTTACGCTGATTGTTGGCAGGCTTTTAGCTAGCGATGCGTACAGCATAAATTGTACACCCTTTACAAAAAATATTAGAAATTGTAGGCCCAGTTTTTTGGATGTACAGCTTTGGTACGCCCTACTTTCCCCCCAGAATGTGGTGGAATATCTGTCCCCACGGACAAATTCGTTCATGGGGTCAAGCACGCTTGCTGTTTGCAAGCAGGTAAGCCTGAAACTTTGAGAAGTTTACAAAAACTCATCTAATTCCTGATAATGTTAGGGTTATTTTGGAGTTTTTGGATTTTCTTTAAAAATTATTTTTATTATTCTTCTTTGGGACAATACTGTCCATGCAATGGAGGAAAAAGAACAGCTAACATAAATGGGGGGGGGGGCAATCTGTTCTAAATCCGTAGCAAATGTCTAACAGATGCTGGGATTTTTTTTTTTATGGTTCTTGGAGATAATTGGGGTTTTTTATTTCCAAAAGATTGATAAATGGATTTTGTTTGTGGATAATGATGTGCAATAATTGTTTTAATTGACTTATGAAACATAATATTGTACCTAAAAATGATTTCATGTCTTCCTTATGAAATTTCCGCCTCTATTCAATACAGTTTATTTCTATAGCGCCAATTCACAACATCTCAAGGCTCTTTCCAGTTCATCAGATCATTCAGTCAGATTGATTCAAAGTTTTCTATCAAAGGAAAACCAGTTGATTGCATCGACTCATTGACTCGAAGTCAATCCTTCAGACCAAGCATGCTTGTAGCGACAGTGGATAGGAAAAGCATTTTCCAACTTGGTTTTAATCCAATTAAATACATTTTCTATCTTTTGTTAACTTTTTTTTAACAAGAATCATGGTTTGTTTTTAATTTCCCTTAATGGAAAAACTCCTTTTTAACAGGAAGAAACCTCCAGCAATACCAGACTGTGAGCGGCAATCTGCTGAGGCGACTGGGGTTCAAGGAGACAGAAGCAGACATAGAGAAAGAAACAGGGATACAAAAAGCAACTTGTAAAGCAGCTCCACAGGCGGCCCGAGCCAGGAAACGCATCCAGACAAGCTCCCATGTCAAAGGATGAATAAGAGCACATCCAGTTAGTCACAGTCAGAGAAACAGGACCTCGAGTCAAGCACACCTACTTCCCAGAATCAGGAAGTAGTGTTGTAAGAAATACAAAAAGTTCACATCATTCCACCTCCAAATGGAGGAAATGGCATTTCAGAGTCTAGATTTCAACATTTTCCTGGAGATCTGACCCCTAGACCTCCCTATAATGCTTGCGCTGCTACACCACGCAAAGCCTTAGATGTTATAGATCCTATGAAGTATTCCAGCTGAATGACTGATTATGGGTTCAACGTTGCTTTTTAATAACCTCTATTTAATCCAACATAAACAGCAGACGCACATATAATACATCAAAGGGTTTTAATTCGATGGAAACTGAACATATTCTAGGTTGTTTTCCTCATTTCAAATTCAGACGTCCTTCCCTTTGGCAGTCTGCTGTCACCTAAAATTAGGATTTCTATTTTCCACACAAATAAAAACACTGGGCAGCGAGCTGGGCCAAGCGATCCAAAAGGGTCGTATCCGTCATTATTTCAGAGGGGAATCCTGTTGTTCCTCTTTGATTCCGGTCGTACTGTGGTCTGTTCAGCCTCTCGGTGTGCCTGTCACAGCGCATGCAGGTAGAACCCTGCTCTTCCTTCTCTGTTCTGTGTAGCTTGCTGATAAAGTGTTAATAGGCCCATGAGGTACGGTGTTAATTGATTCATTCTCCTTTGGCTTCTTCTCATTAACACCCAGTCCCAGGATAGCGTGTATCTCTCCAGGTCCCCTCAGAAGCCTCCCATGTGTCCTTGTTCCCTCCCTGCAGTTCCTCCCTGTCTGGGGACGGGTGGCAGGGAGAGAATCAAACCCGGGTCAGGATCTCGGAGGAAGCTGGAAGAGGACGGAGTAAATGAGGGATGTGGATGCTTTCAGTTAAGAATGTTAACCTCATTTTACTCTTTTCCTGTTTTCACAGCATTCGCAGTGTGATGCAGAAGTACCTGGAGGAAAGAGATGAACTCACTTTTGACAAAATTTTCAACCAGAAAATTGGTAAGTCACCATTTTTTAAAGGAAAATGTAACATTGTTCCCAGTTGGAGAGAGAGAAGAAACTCTCAGCATCTTTGAGTCGAGTGTTTCCAGTCCGTGATCCCTCCTCTGATTATAACAGTTTATAACTGGATCATTAAATGTTGCATCAAATAAGCAGGAATCAGCTGATGTTTGTTTGCTTTAGAGCCAATAATGTAAAATAAAACCCACATTTACTGGTTCCTTTGAAGATGTGTACAAATATCCAAAAGTAAACTGGCTTCCTTGCATCTGCATGGAATGACTATAGAAACGGCTAAAACAATTAACAGGGATTGGATAGAACTGTTTTTATTTATTGGCAGCATAGCTGGAAAATTATGTAAAATAGTTGTAGCATTTTAATGTTATGTCTTTTTTAAAATGTTCCTCAACTTCCTTTTTTTGGTACCCAAAAAGTTTGATCCAGCTATCCAGCTAGCCGGATCACATTGGATGGACCCGGACTAGCCGGTCCATCCCTTTGGATGGACCGGCTAGTCCGTTTCAAGTTGCATTTTTTTCTAAACCAAAACAAGGCTTTGTTGGGCTACTGGATAAATCCTTGAACTCAACGCTATTTCTGACATTTTGAATTGAAAAAGCTTCCTTGATCGGAAGCTAAATGTCTTCAAACCTGGAAATAAAGTCTGATTTTTAGCATTTTTGGAATATATATATATTAGGGGTGGAACGGTTCACAAAATCCACGGTTCGGTTCGATTCACGGTTTGGTGGTCACGGTTTTCGGTTCGGTTCGATACATGTTGATTTATGCACACAGAAATCCCATAAAAATTTATGAAATTAATGAAAAAATCCCCCAAAAAATAATGGATTGTAATTATTTTAACCCTGGATCATTTCCGTATGTTTTGCTGCTTTGAATTTAATCATCTCGAGCACGCTCTCTACCATCTCCAAGGGACTCAGAGGGGAGCGGATGGAGCCACAGTGGAGGCTGTAGGCTTTGCTTTTAACAGCCGGTCTGGAGCGCAGCGGGGCGGAGCGGGGGTTGCTGACGGAGTATGAGGGGTTAGCATGACATGTTGGTCATGTTGCTGTTAGCAT